TAACAGGATGGTTGGACTTAGGAATGGGGTGCCTTTAGTTGTTGTGGAGGCAGTAAATTTAAGTGAGTTTATAAACAAAAAGCTTGATAAGTATATGAATGATAGAGGCTGGGTTTTAAGATTTATTTAATTTTATTTAGTCTAGAGGATGGAACAGCCAAGATGAACCAATAGGTCCCATGCTGTTCCAAAACATTGTTATTATCCTGCGTTAAATACATTATTACTATTATATACCAGGTTAGCAGGATGTATAAAATCTTTGAGCCATAGACTCCTAACTTTTTAGAAATCTAGGAGACTGTGGTGTGTGTTTTAATTGAATGCAAGCATAATTTAACTGGATTCTTGGCTGAATTACAGTCATGTATTTATGCCTCATGGTTTCTTTACAGCAGTGAATAAAAACACCTGTCTTAGTGAATGTAATGTTGTCTTCATAAGATACCCTTTATTTTTATTTACATTGGTGTTACTTTTACAGACTTGGTTTTAATATTTAAAAAGAACTTAGAACACATGAGAAAAAATGAAAGTTGCTTGTTGAACAAGGAACTAATTAAAGGTGGAAGATGATTAATTCCCAGGATCTTGGTTTAGTTCATAAAGATGAACATGCATTTTTCCTAACATGATGTATTATTTAGCTGTCAAGATGACTTTTAAATGTATTTCTTGATTGTATTACTATGCTGTGATTGTTGGGAATGATTTTGTGATAAATTATTTTGAAACTCTGGGATATTGTTAATGTAAGCTGAAGCAAACTATTGAATAGCAGTATAAAATCAGTATCAAGTTAGTGAAGTAATGAAATTAATAATAGTGTTTGCCTCAGAGTAACTTATAGCATCATGGCTGATTAGAATGTTGGTTTATACTCACTAGACAATAATTCAAAACTCGTTTAGCAAAGCTTATTTGCAGGCCAAGCTATGCTGGAATCATGATCTGTTTTTTGTTTTTTTTCCACCAGAACAGGTAAATAGTTTTATTAAGTTTTAAAATCTCATTTATTCAGCTGTGTTTTTTAAAACTGTGACAAATTACAAAGAAGTTTGAATAAGCTCTAAAAGTGAGTGCTAATTTAGTACTGGTTGTTCTTTTTTGCATTTTTTATTATATTGTAATAATGTTTACTTTGAAATAACTTATCGCATACATACATCATATGATTTTTCTGTGACTTCCAAAGGTTATTTATTTCTTTTGATATTACAGGTTATATATTTTATTGTATTATTGTATGTTTTCATAGGTTTACAATTATTAAAATGGTTTTTGATTGCATAATTGGTTTGCAGAGTTCTGCCCAGGAACTTTTGAATCTGATATAATTAAGGTACAAAAATATGTACATTTTTCTTCTGGAATATTCAAATACAACTAGCAAATATTAAAATTGCCAAATTTACTGTTTGTGTTGCCTCTTAAAAACTTATCTTTGAAAATGTTTTACTTTGAAAATTGCCACGAGCATGAGATTCTTATCATA